GTGTGTATATGTGTATGTGTGTGTGTGTGTGTGTTTGTGTGTGTGTTTGTATGTATGTGTATGTGTGTGTGCGGGTGTGTATGTGTGCGTTACCACGTGGGGTCGGCGACCGTGTCGGGCACGACAGCCATCGGCCAATCGCCGCCGCGGCGCCGCAGGGCCGCAGACAGCCTCTAGAGGCGGAAAGGCTCAGAAGAGCTCAGGAAGGCTCCGCACAACAAAAGCCCAAGGGGACAGCCGTCGGGCCGCCGTGTGTGCATCCGACGCCGTACCGTCGGCGTAACCCAAACAGACACACACACGCCCCCGCCCCCGCCCCCGCCCCCGCCGGTGCTTCCGCTTTCGCTCACTGACCGACCTCGTCGTCCTCGTCCGCCGGCGACTCAGCCCCCTCGCTCGCTCCCTCCTCGTCGTCCTCCTGAGGGGGAGGGGGGACGTAATGGAGAGCGAAGCGGAGCGAGCGGCGGCAGGGGTAATGAATGGAAAGCGAGGGACACGAGCGAAACGGTAATGGAGAGCGGAGCGAGTGAAGCGAGCAGCATGGGCAGGGTCGAGCAGCAGGGGTAGAGGCCAGATGCATGTACGGTATGCAGCATTTATCGTACTTGTACGACGGTACGGTACGGTACGGCGCGCACCTCCAGCGGCTCGTCCTCGTCCTTGGCGGCCCGTGACCCACGGGTCGGTCGCCGCTGTTGCCGGGCATCCGCGCCGTCGCCCTCCGCCTCGCCCTCCGATTCGGCGTTGGTTGCGGCGGCGGCGGCGGCGGCCTCCGCCTCCGCCGCCATCCGCTCCTCCTCCTCCTCCACCGCATCATCTTCATTCTCCGCGCTTACATCCACAATAGTGCTGCTGGCATCAGCAGCTGCAGCAGATGCAGCGTCAGCAGCAGCGGCCTCTCGCGCCGCTTTCCGAGCCTCTGTAGTCATCATCCATCCATCCAACACACACAGGGAGGTAGGGAGTTAGTTGGAGCTTCGGCAGGCGCCACACGGTATCACGGTACGTCTTGGTGTGGAGGTTTAACCACCTACTGTCAGCGGTTGGGTGGCCAACCGACTCCTCCTACAGGTCCCACACACGCACATACACACACAATCCCTCTCTCTCTCTCCCCCTCCCTCCCCCTCTCACACACGCACATACACATACGCACATACACAACCACATACACACATTCTCACAAAAGCACGCCGTACAGCCGTACAGCAGTACACCCGTACCGCCCGTACTACCTTTGTCCTTGATCGTTTCCGTATACGTCTTCCGCTTGGTGGTGTAGTTGTGGAACGGGTGTGTTCCCACGTAGCACTCCAACGCCTCCCGTAGCTTGGACAGCGCCTCACGCACCGCCTCCGCCTCCGCCGCCGTCTGAGGCACCGCCGTCCGGTCCTGCGTGTCCGCTGCCGCGGCGGCGGCGGCGGCGGCACCCCCCGGCTGCCCCGCCGCCTCCGCGGCGCCGCCGGTGGGGCCGCCGCCGCCTCCGGCGGTGGTGTCGGCAGCCCCCGGCGGCAGCAGCAGGTAGGCCGGCAGGAAGTATTCGTAGGTGCGATCGAAGCAGAAGCTGCAGGGAGGGTTTTAGGGTTTAAGGGTTTTAGGATTCGGCTATTGGTGCCGTACTACTTGGAAGCACCCTTCTCCGTAGACGGGCGGCATACAAAGAGAGGGGAGGGGGAATGGTCGGCAGTCCGGCCATCCATTACCAAGTCCCCTCCAGGGAGCCCTCCCCTCCCCCGGGGTGGGAAGGGGTAAGGGGTAAGGGGTGGGGGTGGGGGGCGCAGCCTCCTGCCCACTGCCCACTTCGCCACCTACCCACCCCTGGGGGGGCTGCCAGTCCGCGTTGCATCTTCGGACTGCGTCCTCAATCTCCCGGGCGGCCCACTGCCTACTTCCCTCACCGGAGGATGAAGGGGAGGGGTGGGCGCTGCGCGGGATGTAACACGGCTCAGGGCCGCACTCTCTCCGCCCTCCAAGACACAACGAGCAGCCCTCTCCCCCTCCCTCCCTCCCTCCCTCCCCTTCATGCCACCCACCCCACCCCGGGACTCACGCACCGCCTGGCGTTGAACTTCTTCTGCACCCTCTGAGCACTGAACACGCGGACCTGCGGGGGAAGGGGGGAGTGGGGGAGTGGGGGTTATCCACATATAGGCCGGAGCCGGGGAGTGGGGGAGGAGGAGGGGGGGGTCCACGGCGGCGTAAGGCGGGAGGCGAGGGAGGTGAGGGAGGCTAGGGAGGAGGTAGCGCTTGGAGGCGGAGGAGGAGGGTTGCGACGAGTCACTGCAACGAGAGTTGATGACATCCCGCGCGCGGTGGGAACGTTACTCCTCTTGAGGTTTACGCGAGTGGTGGACACTGGGTCCGCGTGGCTCGCGTCCTGTGTCGTACGCTCGTACGCTCGTACCTGGGGCGGCAGACGGGAGTTGAGCTCGGCCGCAATGTCCAGGCCTTCCGGGTCCGTGTCGAAGCTGTTGCCGTACCAGTGTCGTACAAGGATCGCATACCGATGTCGTGTCGCGGTTGGCAGTACGCAGCAAAACGACAGAAGGGTCAAGGCGGGAGGCGCCAGCGTCAACGACCAACCGCAAACCGCAACAGTACGGTGCAGCAGCAATTTAGGAGAGCAGCAACAGCAGACAGCAGTTGCGATACGGTAGGTAACGGCAGCAGAAGTGGCATCCAGCCAATCCAGCCAACCCTCAGACAGCGCAGCTGTCGACCCCCCCTCCCCCCCACACCACCACCCATACACACACACCCCACACCCGCCTTCCCCGGTCCCCGCCTTCTCCGCCTTCCCCGATCCCTGCCCCCTCAGCGCCCCCCCCTCACCGCTCGTCCCCCCTGAGCAGCACCCTCAGCCCCACCACCGAGGCCACCGAGTGCACCCCCTTGTCGGTACGGCTGTTGCGGGTCCACTTGACCTTCTTCAGGTCGCCGAAGTTGGATTCGGCGATAAGGCCCGCGGAGAACACCGCCCGCTCCAGAACCTCCTCAACGGTGCTGTCGGGGGCGGCAGACCGGTTGACTTGCAGGCCTGGGTGTTTGGGGGGGAAGGGGAAGTGTGGGGGGTGGGGAGTGTGGGGGGGTGGTAAAAAGAAGATACCACAGCGAAGAAACGGAGACGGTGTGTGTGTGTAGGTGGGTGGGGGTTATCCATGTATAGGCCGGAGCCCGTGAACGGGGAGGGGGGGGAGGAGTGTTGAGGAGTGGGCAGGCGCTCATGCGGGTGTGGGGTATGGGGTGCGGGTGCGGGGGCGCGGGTTTTGTTTTTGTGGGTGCAGTGATGGTACTACATCAACGGCTGGGGGGGTTCCCCGGCCCCGGCCCCGGGTTGAATGCAGCCCAACTGCAATGCACGAAGGGCCGGCTGGGCCCCCCCTTGGCCCCCCCTGGCCCCCCTTTGCCCCCCCTGGCCCCCCTACCTTCCCTACCAGGGCCTGAGACCCACAGGGGCCCACAACAACAACAACAAACAGCCTCACGTCGCCTCCGGACCGACACTGTAAACCCCCCCAGAACCCCCAGAACCCCCAGAACCCCCCAGAACCCCCCCGAACCCCCCCGACAACCCCAGAACCCCCCCGAACCCCCCCGAACCCCCCCGAACCCCCCCAACCTCGTCCGGACTCGTACCCTTGAAGGCGGTCCCCACGTAGCCCAGGTGCATCGCAATGCTGCGCTTCACCATGCCGGGAGGCCGCTTCGTCCGGAGGACGCTCCCTGACGCCGCATAGGCCGCCTGTGCCGCCGCCTTGGCCGCCTGTGCAGCCGCCTTGGCCGCCGCCTTGGCGTCTAGCGGGGGGGCGCTGGCCGCTGACTCTGCCGCCGCTGAAGCTGGAGGCGCCGAGGCGCCGTCCGTGGTGGTGGTGGTGGCACTGGTGGTGGGTGGTACGGGCTCGGCGCCACCCGGCCCGGCGGCAATGGTGGGGCTTAGGGTGTCAGGGCGCTTGATGGGGTCTTCGGAAGTGAGGTCGGATGGTGAGGGTGTCGGCGTGGATGCAGACATGGTGGGATCGGCGGCTGCGGCTGCGGATGCCGCGGTGATGGAGGTGAGGCTCCGCGGCCGCTGCGTGCGCAGCGGGGGTGATGGGCGGGTGGTGGGGGAGCTGATGGCGGGGCAGGATGGCCAGAGGAGCAAGCTGGATGATGAGAAGGGAACGGGAACAAGGCTGTTGTTGGGGGTGAAGCGGGGGATGCCGTTGGCGGTGGTGAAGATGGCCGGGAGGCACGATGCTGTCGGACGACAGCGGCTGGTAGGCGTCGGGGACCGGAAGATTGCAGAAAATGGAGATGCGTAGCTCGGACGGCTTTCAAACGAAAGAATTGTAAGCGCAGGCAATCGAACGTGGCGCGCGCGAGGGGCGGCGGACAATTGGCCAGCAGTCGATTGAAGCATAGCGGCGTACTAGGGAAAGCTGTAGAGGCTCGAAGACCTGATAATTTCAAGGTTTTATAAAGTATGTTTCCATCCGATGTCTTGAGTATGCACGCTATTCAACGCAGAATCCGCTCGAGCCCCCACAATCCAGACGGCGAGTTTGCGAAAAACACACGTATAAATACTTGGCAAACGGTTTCTCTATTTATGCGGCGCGGCTGCAGTCCATTCAAGAGGCGACGAACGAACAGAGGCAGTTAAGACGAGACCGTATCCTGCATAGTACGGTAGATAGGCAGTTTCGACGAGGCCGTACCTCGTACAGACAGGCACAGGGCTGGCCGCAGGCCCTGGCCTGCCCTCTGCCCTGGACAGGCAGTTTCAACGGAGCCGTATCATCATGTACATCATGTATAGACGGCACACGAAACGAAGTCACCGGCCGCCGTTTATGAATTCTGTCCGCCAAGATCCTGCAGCGCACCAGAGTTTCACCAAGGCACCGAGCGCATAGGTTTGAGTCCCCCACCCTCCCCCACTGCCACAACTGTACACGGACTCATCTCCCAGAGCCAAGAAACTCCCGGAGCCATAAGGTCTCCCCAACTTCATGCAGTGACGCCCGATGTGGGGATCGAACCCACGACCACGAGGTATCATATTCCGCGATGGGAATATCTAACTTTCCACAGCAGTATCCGTAAAAGCCTCGCGCTCTACCACTGAGCTAACCGGGCAGACTTGCCACATTGCCAACGTTTACGGCATCTGGACCAGGTTTGCGCTGCAGTAGGGACGATCGGATCTCGAGATCAGTCGGCTATTCCCAGTGCCGCATGCGCTCATGGAGCACATTCGCGCCACGGACGACTGCCCGACGCAATCAGGCGCAATCTACTGCGTGTGTTGGTGTGGTCCCGGACTGTCGGGGGAATGCGGTGGGTGGGGGCTGCCAGCAAAGCGCCATACGGCAATCCTGACTGGAAAGACGCTTCTCCAGGATTTTCCAAGTTTGCGGAATCGGACACCGAAACCATCCCAGTTTGGCCTCTGTACCGTTTCCGACGAGGGTTTGGGCGCGCAGCATTACTTCTGATTCTCTTTGCGCTGCATCACGTGTTGGCCCGCTACACCAGGCCAGGGGGCGATATGTATGGCAAGACATACCGGTACGGTATCACCCCTGGCCTGCCAGTGTGCCATATTGACTATCAGGAGGCCTTTGATTGCGTGCTCTACTATTCCGGTGTCTGGATCCCAATGTAACAACCACAACACCCCACCACCTCCGCTTGTCTGCTACTAGAGGTTTTTTCAGCGTTCCCGAATTTTCTCGGCGTTCCCGCATGCCCCAAATCCCACCCCATCCCCCATGCCCTGTGAACCGGTGTGAATTTTGCTGCCGTGGCATTCGTAAACGTTGTTACACAGTGGCAGGAGCAGCGAAACAAAACTGCACCAGGCCGGGTTCGAACACAGGACTTCGCTTTCCGCGCCGCAAGGATCCACACAACCCCGCACCCAACCTCACCCGCGCCCTCCTCATCCTTCCCCTCTCCCCGCATCCCTTGCCTTCCCCTCGATGCAGCTAACTGGAGCCAACAACCCTCGTTCAAACCCCGGTAGAGCCTTTTCAGGCCAATCTGACTGTCCCACACGCCGAGCGGATCTGAAGCAACACCACCCAGCCGCACTCATCACCCGGCTCCGAAACCCTTCCGAAGATCTGGGGTCTCCACCAAGCGCAACAAAACCGCACGGGGCAGGGCCCAAACCCCGAAGTGCATGTCCGCACCCCGGGGACAGCCCAGCAAAACTGCCTCCAACAGGCAAACCCAGCTCCCCGCCTTCCAAACAACCCCCCGGCCGCCCGCCCCTCGCGCGCCTTCAGGGCTCGGCCCTCCCCCTCCGCAGCAGCAGCGGCGGCGGCGGCGGAGGCGGCGCAAAATTGGCAGCCGGGTCCGAGCAAGAAACCGACGAGTACCCAGCAGGCTAGCTCGCCAACGGAGCGATCTGGCAGGCAAGCAGAGATTGAGCACAGCAGGTGGCTATCTGGCTGGCTGTCTGTCTGTCTGGCTGGCGGAGACCGGAAGGAGGCGGTGGCAGGCGGCCCTCCAAGGCCCCCCATAGCGGTGGAGAGACCGCAGGTCCGCAAAACTGGGCCGCGCCTCCTCCCCCCCTCCCACCCCGCCACCCCTTTCTGCGCCCATCACGCCACCTCGACAGCAGCAGCACGCAGCGTAGCACACCCGAGCAGCATCAGTCGCCGCCGCCGCCGCCTCCTGCCGAGCCAGCTCTAAAACCCTTGACTCGGCTTATTTGCTGGTGAGCAGTTTGGTGGCCACCACGCCGCCGTACAGCACCAGCGCCGGCACCGCCCACGCGCCCACATTGGTGGCGCTCCCGGTCGTCGTCGACTTGGCCGAGAAACCCTGCGCGGTTCAGTGCGGTTCAGCGCAGTGCGGTTCAGTGCGGTTTAGTGCGGTTCAGTGCAGCGCAGCGCGATTCAGCGCGGTCAGTGCAGCGCAGCGCGGCTGAAATCAGTTTACCGGTAATTCAGTTTCCTTCCAGCGGCGCTTCGGTTGGGTTGGGTGTGCTCCAGGTCGGGTTCAATGTGGGGACGAGATAAGGGTGCTGGTGCTGGGCGGGAGGACGATGACGGAGAGACAAGAGACGGACGAGTGCACACGCACGCACACGAGAGGGTGGTAAGAGACGTACATCGACAGGGCGTTGTGAACGCACATTACCGCTCCCACCAGGCCCGCCGTCTCCGTCCCCCGCCTCCAAAGCCCCGCTCCCTCCGACATTGAAAATTACAAAACCTCCCGGAGAGGGGTTTGTGAACCCCAGTCCCCATCAGCCCGGGCACCCGCGTCCCCAACAACCGCACTGACCCACGGGTCTGCGCACACACATTTACACGTGGGGTGATCCACGGGCCCACTGACCCACGGGCCCACCGACCCACGGGTCTGCGCACCTGCAGCTCGCGGACGTAGGCCTCCTCAAACGTCTTGCTCTCCACCAGGTGCGTCAGCCCCTCCCCGGCGTACGACACCAGCGGGCTGACCTCCACCACCCCCTCCTCGTCAGCCACGGCGCCGCCGCTGTCCTCAACCCAGCTGAAGTAGGAGAGTACGGCAAGAAGAGGCAGAGCCGTCAGCAGAGCACTCAGCGAGCCGAGACAGGGAGTCAGGTCAGGCTTTGGTGGTGCAGAATGGTGATGGCGCCAGGCGAAGGCTGGCATCATAACAGCAAGCATGAGCGGGTGGAGACGAATGCGGGGGCTGGGGGATGGATGGCGCAAACGAACGACCCACGGGTAGGTGGGCCCGTCCGACGCTCCGAAACCTTGCTCACGTCGCCTCCCGCGCTCTGCGGCTGTATTTCATACGGCAGCGTCCAGTAGCAGATCACGGTAGCCCACATATGCCCGTCACACCGCGTCACACCAAATTCGTTCGTCACGAAGTCGACATCGTCCTTATCGCCAATGTTTTTTTGTCGAGGCCTCCTTCCCCTCCACCCGCCCTGCCCTCCCCTGCCCCACCCACCTGGTGTGTTGCAGCAGCAGTGCATCTACGGCCGCCTTGGCCGAGGCGGTGCGGTAAAAGGGCGCACTGCCCCACACCGGCGAGAACTCCGTCCCCGCGTCCACAGCCACCATGGCCAGATGCACGGAGGCGCCCAACAGCTGCTGGATCTGCGGGTGGGGAGAGGTCCCATTGGGGGAGGGGGGTCCCATTGGGGAGGAGTAAAAAGAAGATACCGCAGCGGAGGCCCCATTGTGGGGGGGGGCACCATTGGGGGAAAGGGGTTCCGTCAGGGGGTTTAGAACGGTGTGATGGGTTGAGTTTCGGTTGGCTGGCGAGCAACGGTTGGTGGTTGGCGGTTGTAGCTTCTAGGCAGGAAATGAAGCGCAATGTCTGGTGGGGGGCGTTCCGACGCGACATGGACGTCGTCCGCTGCCAAAACCCAGGAAACAACAGGAAAAGAGGCGGTCCCGTCCCGTCCCATCCTGTCCCATCGCGGCGCGTCGAGAGTCGAGTGCAACGAACAACGTGGGGTCGCGGCGACGAGCCGAAACCCACACACGCCCCAAAACGTCAAACCGCCCCTTGAGCCACTCTAACCACCACAACCATCACAACCACGCCGCCTCGTCACTCACCGCAGGGGATGCGAAGTCCGACAGCCGCCGCTCGAAGCGGTAGCCCGCCGAGCCGCCACCCGGCGCCGGCTGCGGCGGCGGCGCCGCCGCGGCAGCGGCGGCGCCAGGCTTGGCGGCCGGGGCCGCGGCGGCCGCCGCTGACCCACGGGTCGGTACCTTGTCCGCCGGTGCCAGGCGGTACAGCGCCAGGGGCTGCTCCCGCAGCAGCTTCTCCACCCGTCGTACGAAATCCATGGACAAGTAGTACGACCCGAGTGCCGGTACGGCATCCCCCAGGGTGGGCAGCAGGGGGGAGCTCCCGCCCAGCAGCTCCAGGTAACGGGAGTAGAGCTCGGGCAGAGCCGACGGTCCTAAACAGGCAACACGTGGGGGCGGGCCACGGGAAGCGGCGCGGCGCGGCGCGACGAGCATGAGTGACAAGAGGGGGGGCCACCACTTGCGCGCTGGACGGTGCAAAATCAGATGCGGCAGTGAGAAAAAACAAACCAACCCGCCCCTGCTTCCCATCGCTTAGCTTCCCAACGCTTAGCCTCGCTCTACTTCCCTAGATCTCATACACTTCCTCCAACCCCCTCAGGCCATCATCATCTTCATCATCACCATCATCTTAATCATCTTCTTAATCATCTGTACCACCTCCATGCGAGCCCTAAAACCGGATCACGGAAGTCCCGACATCGATACGGCCCAGCCGCCGCCCTGTCCGCCGGCGCCTCACCCTCCGTCTGCACTCCCGGCACCGCCACCTTTGCCGCCGAGTCGATGGCGGTGGCGGCACACGCCCCCACGAAGGCGGGGTCCAGCGGCCGGCCCAGCAGGTTGTCCTCCACCGCGCACACCTCCAGGCAGCGAATGCCGCAGCGGCGCATGTGCGACAGAGCACCGCAGCGGCGGAGCGCCAGGAACACGTCGCCTGGGGAGGGAGGGAGAGAGGGGCGGTGTGCGTGTGCGGGGTGGGGTCAGGGAGTGATATGCTCCTTTATATAACAATGCGTGTGTGTGGGGGGGTGGGATGGGGTAGGGAGGGTGGGTGTAGGTATCGGGAGGGATTTGTTTTTCGCAAGGGCGGCACAAGGGTAGGGAGGACGCGAGGTGCGGAGGGTTCAGGGGAGGGAGAGGGGCCTTGGGCGTTCGAGGGGGGGCCCGGGGTTTTAGGGAGGCGCCAAGAGGGAGGGAGGGAGGGCTAAGGAGGGTTGTGTGAAGAGTGAATGAGACCGGCGGACTGGACTGGGCGAGTGGTGGGTGGTCTTTCTCCGCCACTTCCCCCCCTTCTGTAATCCAGGAGAGCAAGGGCCGGAAACGGGCAGAAGGGCGAGAGGGAGTTCAAGTACCCTGCAGGGCAGCCATCCTGCTGGATGGCCGATGGACCAACAAGCCGCGTCGAAAGGCGGCGGTACGACCGCTGGGCCCTCCCTTCCTGCCCCTGACACGGCCCCTTTCCTTAACGGCCCCTTTCGCTAACGGGCCCCCCTCGCCCCGGGCCGTTCTAATTACCCCCCTAACGGCCCCTTCCCCAGCGTGAGTGTCTCACCGCTGCCTGGCTGGCTGCGCGCCGTGCGGACG